CGCGGCAGACACCAAGTAGTGAGACAGAGCACAAGACAACGCTGTTCAAGAATTCCAACGCTGAGCCTAACGATCTACATCTGTGTCTCGTACACGCATCTTCCAACCACACCCTCACCTCGACGCGGATCTCGACGAGGCGGCCGAGACAATCCGCCCCTGCCCCAGCTCGCCAGGCAGATTCTGGGCACCAACATCGCCCTGGGCGATCAACCGCCTCCCCCCACGGACCAGCCAGTCAAGCGGCATGGTAAACGGCGCCAGAACCAGCGAGACCGCATAGATAGTCGCCGTCATGGGGAACGTCACCACATACCACCCGCCGCCGGCCACCCTCCCAATCAGACTCCCGCTGCCGGCGCTGTTCCTCGCAACGACGGCCGACAGGGCAATGGCGTCGTCGAGACGCCTCCTAAGGTCGCGCAGGCGCTGTTCCGTGTCGTTGGTCAGTGTGCTGGTCTTCTTTTCGTAACGCCGCACCGCACGGATGACGCTGTCGATCTCCGGGCGGATGGCGGTGTGCACGTCGCGGGTCACGTCGTCGCGCAGCTGCCGCGCCATCTGCTGCTGCCGCTGCGGGTTGTTGCACTCGCACCCCTCGCACCCCTCCTTGTTGGGCTGTGCGAGCACCCGCGTCTCGAGGTCCTCAAGCCGAAACAGCATGTCGCGGTACTTGGAGGGCGTGATCCGCACCATCCGGTACGGGTTGGAGTGGATGATCTGCTGCAGGTGCAGCGTCTTGGCTAGGATCAGCTTGATGGCGTGCGAGACCGGGCTGACTTCGGCCGCCATGATAAAAATTCCGAGGTTGAAGTTCGAGACGAGACCTTCGGACGGCCGGCTGAGAAAGTCTCGGACAATGTAGAGGAGGTAGGTGGAGGCGGCAGGCGCGAGAAAGCATGTGGCCAGTGCCGCGCGTTCGAGATTCCGTAGCCGGGCCTGAGCGTCGTCGACCTGGCGTGCTCGCTCGTGTTTTTCTGCGGCCGAGGGGGATGCGCTCCCGGGCGAGTCTGAATCACTCAGGGGCTGCGTGGGGAGTTCGTCGTCCTCAATATCCAATGCCTCCTCCGCGGCCGCTTGATGGTCCTCTCGGACTCGCTGGGCCGAGTGGTACCATTTCCTGAAAATGGTGAATGCGCGTCCTCGACATGTACCTCGGCGGGTGCAAGAACCAAGACTTACCATGGTGCCGAGATGGACCAGTGGAGAAAAATGGTGGCCAGGCCCAGCAGCGTGAGATCGCTGAAGAAGGCAGTCCCGTTTGCGAAGATGAGCCCGGCGGTGGGGGGGATCACGGCAAACATGATAGGCAGCCACGATTTCCACGTTATCTCCTCACGCTTGACAGCTGGGCCGGGGTCGACGATCTCGTCCTGGAAGTCCCGGCTTGCCTCGCTGAGATTGAATGCCGAAAAGGTGGAGCTGCGGCGGCGGCGGCGGTCCTCGGGAGACATATCTAGCCCGGCTGGCCCGGCTGGCCCGGCTGGCCCGGCTGTGGATGTACGCCGCATGCCCGGGTCGTTATCACGCGCGCTCGACTTACGGCGTGCGTTCCCGACAGTGTCCGAGGTGGACGACTCCCCAACGGCCGGGCCGCCGGTGTCCAGTCTTCCTGGCGCCATGGATGCGTGGTTGGAAGCGGAGGTGTGTACGTACAAGGCTTCTTCTCTCCAGGTCCCTCCGAGTCGGCCGTGTTGTCGTGGGGTGGACGCTGTCCCGGTAGAGGACGCGATGAATGATGCTGAGCAGTGACGTAATCGAACAATAAACAGACTCCAAAGGCCGGACTGGTGTCTCACTTCATCGGTCCCGTATCCTGCAACGAAAGGCACCGCAAATATTGCAGGTCATACTCGCAATACAGATGAATGCTGGCTGAGCGGGAAAGGCGAGGTTTGGAGTCCAACGTGTGTTTCGAGCTGCCATTGGAACTCGCTTTCAAGGTGTCGGGTGTGCAGTTTCCCAAACAGGCTTCACGGTTGCGGGGTGTCCCACCTCCCCGATCCCACCTCCCCGAAGCCCGCTCGCATCTGCATGCACAAGACTCGCATCTGCATGCACCAAGACTCGCATCTGTATGCAACAAAAAAGACTCGGAATGTGCAGACCACGAAAAGAAAAGAGCAAGCCTCGGGTAGCTCATCTATCTGGATCGAAAAAGATGAGGATGCTCATGAGCCAAAAGAAGAATCCAGAGTGGATGCACCCGGGATCGAACCGGGGACCTTTCACAAGGCGCATTCCAGTCAATGCGAAGCGAAAATCATACCACTAGACCATGCACCCGAGGTACTCTTGGATGAGGGAATTTGGAGTTTTGCCAGTTTATGAGCAGCCGAGTTTTGTCCCGAGTTGGCACCCCTGAAAGCTGCCCTAACTTAATCTGTCCAAGGGAGCCGGGTCTGTGCCAATCCCGCCAGTCCACTCCTGCATCCATCTGCTTCAGTCCCAATCAAGATCGCACATGCATAACTCCTCGCAGAATCAGACGCCCCAATCGAAACCCATCGTTCCCCATCGAGCCCACCTCCTCGGCGTCTTCCGTTTTGCCTGCCGTGTTCGCTTCTCTAGCGCCCTGCATCTTTCCATCAACGCTGTGAGACGCGAGGCGACCTAATCGTTGTTTATCTGTCGCGCTAGATCCAGGGCAATTTCAAGATTGCGCGACGGGGTGGACTTGTGGAGAACGCCATCTGGGGTTGCAGCTCCCAGTTCCCACCAGGTTGCGCCCGGTCGACTAGCACCCCTCGTTCAGACGACGGGCCGGGAAAGAGGAGAAGAGCCGGCGCCATTTTCCCACCCACCTGCGAATTCGGAGGCGCCGTCTCGGTGACCGCCGCTGTCCGATCTGCCCCACGGCTTCACCCACGGCAGCAGCTGCCAACCCCCGATCCCTCACCAAATCGGCTGCCCTCGATGCAGCGACCGCAGGCCCACCGCAATCCGCAGCAAATCCGAAACTGCCGTCGCCGTCGCAGCAACCCCCCTACCCACCCGCTCCCACGCCCCTTTCGCCCGGGCCAGTAACACCCGCCCAGCCATCGCGAGGAAACAGCCTACTACGAAGGGGCCTTGGCGGCGCCCCAGACTCGTTCCCCCAGTCTCCCTTCCGCACCCGCCGCGCCGCTGCGCAGCTCCCGTTCCGACACCTCTCGGCATCGCGTCTCTGGAA